TAAACAATGAAATTATTTTTTGGAACATTTGTAGTTTTTATTCTCTTATTTTCAACCGCATCGTAAGTTGACTGAAAATAATTATTCTTTCATTCATAATAGTTATTTTCTTTTAGAGCTTTTTTGTTGTCTTCATGCAAAAAATGGTCTGAAACATGTCGAACAAGTACTAGCTGTTGTCCAATGAAGGGTCATCGTATGGTATGTGCTCCACATCGAAAAATATGTGGCAAGAAAATATGTTGCATTACTGAAGTCGAAGCACAACAGGATAAGCAAGCATCTATTATTCGAAATCGTCGTCCTAAATCAAAATAAATTTTGGCAAATATTGCTTGTTGCAGAAGAAAAATAACAATGAGGAACACATATTTTACATCTAAAAAAAGTCTTTTGATTTGTTTGTCATTATATTTTAACCATTTTTACAAAGGCGAAAAAAGTGGATATGTTGTTTTTTGTTCAATAACATATTAAGACACGAACAAACCCCCTACACCCACACACACAAAGATGTCAAAGTCGCAGAGGATTTGATTTATTTAAGATAGGATAGAACACAAGTAATCATCCTCACGAAGAGACACGACAGATGTGTACCTGAAACAAGTTAAACACTTATCTTTTCTATACTGATAGTTTTTCTCACATTTTGTACCACTGCTTCGACACTCTTTCTCCATATCTAATGGCAATTTATCTTGATACAATCGACTGAAGGGTCGTCACCGAATACATTGTACTTGGGCATTCTGTAAACATGCTTAGTCAGAAAAATCAATATCTTTCTCAGTTATTACCGGGTAGTTGAATGGCATATGAATTGTTATCTAAATAAATACGTCTGATATTTAACACCAGTATACTGGTTCGTTTTTTTGTTTTTCCGTAAAGCGAAATAAGAGAAATTAACGATCGTTGACTTTCTTTTCGTCTCTTTAGGGATAAAGAGAGAGAATCAATACATGGGTTCCAACTATAGTATGCCTATCTTCTTCTGACATACGTTGCCGGTAGAGATCGAAAAAGAGTGCACTGACACAGGCAGGTAAAGGAGGATAGTTGACGCCGAGAAACGCAAGAACGGCAGATATGGTTGTACTGCGCTGCAATATGCACAAAAAGTTAGCCACTTGTCTATCATATTCAAATCATTACACCCAAATAGATTTTGGCTTTGCGTCCTGTTGAATTTTTTGACATTAAATTTTTCACATTGTTCATTATAACGTAGACGATTGACTTCGGGTAAATAGTAAATATGATACTCGAACAGATTGAGTATCTGATGGAGTTCATTAAGAATAGAGGGGATGACCCATGAAGTAGCCACATTGTACGAGTCCTAGGTGAGAAATATGACATTTTTCCAAGATATGAGTTCATACAATGGTCTTCTCCTTACCTCGATAATTATAGTATCGGTAATGTAAAACGCAACGGATAAATCAGGAACTGATTGGTCTGTATTATTTTCGAAAAATTGAAGGAGCGACAATGAATGAAGCAAAACTAGTTTCTCTATATCAAGAAGTGATATGAGCTCACTCGAAACTGATTGTTGATACTTTAAACCCATTCACTCTTAATACTTGCAACCATCAACTCTTCAGACCGGGATGTGGGTGTGGGTGTGATGTTCGTCTTGCGTCGTCCAAGGTAATACCCGTACCCAGCCACATCCCAGCTTCTTCGAACGGGAAGCACTATTATTGCTGATCTGTTCTGTCAGCAATTGGATCAAGTTGCAGCAAAACTCAAGAGAAAGCAGGATGAGGTTCATTCTTTTACATGACAACGCCAGACCTCACATTGCAATGTCAACGCGTGAAAAACTATTGGACCTTGGATGGACTGTAGTTCTATAGGGTGTCCCATAAATAACGTTCCAATAAGAAGTTTAGATATCTCCGCCAGATGTCAACCAAACGAGCTGAAATTTTTATCAGTAATAGAAGCATATTCAAGGTTTATATTCATAAAGACATGCCTAGAGAGACCCTTTTCTTAAGTATGACTTGTTTTGGGATTGAGTGGGTGTAAGTGTGAGTGTGGATGAGGGTGTGTCGGTGGGAGTGGGTAGGTGTGAGTGCAGCTGTGGATGGGATGTGAATCAAAGATTGAATACTTAGTACAATACTTGGTACTTTTCGTATCTATACGAATAGATGAATACATACATAGAATGTTGATTGATCTCTGTGACAACAAAAATAGATACTTATATTGATCAATAAGACTAAATTCTCCAGAATAGAGAGCCACCTCATATTTGGAGATCACACCTGAACAAACGTTCATCGATCTTATTAGAAGGCCATGCGCCATTTAATTAATTAGTTACAATAATAATCATTTTTTTTTCGAAATATTAATTTATAATTAGCCAAATATTGCCATTTTTCTGGTGTTTTACCGAGAAATCGCTCGATATTCTATCATTTATAGCATGTTTTTATACGAAAACGGTAGTTTCTCGTGAAAAATACCCGAAAAACGTTAATTAGTATTTTTATTTTTTAAGATTTTTAATTAATAATTGATCAAAAGTTGACCTCAAGAGAAGACCATCCAAAAAATAACGATGTGCGGAGACATTGTATAAGTCCAAGGCCTTATTTTCTAGTCGAGTTAATATGATTAACAATTGATTGCTTCCATTCACTTTCTGTTTCTTCCTTCTGTCCTCATACGTAAGATGTTTGAATGTATTTGAGGTGTAGTTATTCTTATCTTTGTACTTGTAACTATATTTAGTACGTGGAGAACAGAATATCAACACCGTCGTGCAGTAGAGAAATGTGAAAATGCTCCAACATCCGTTTTACGTGACAATCGTATACAATAAATTCCTGTTATGGAACTTGTTGTTGGTGATCTGTGTTTTATAAAATCTGGTGAAAATGATACATAAATAATTAATATTATTGTTTTTTTTTTTTGAATTTTTGTTTTTAGGTGATTTTTTACCAGTTGATGGTTTAATTGTTCGAGCAAATGATCTTGCAGTTGATGAATTTTCTATAACAGGTTCATATTCTTCTTTTTTTTATGAATCTATCATTATAAATTTAAACAATGTGCTTTCTTTATAGGAGAAAATGATTTAATAAAAAAAATCAAAATGAAGATGTTGCACTTTTCTCAGGTACAGAAGTGAAAGAAGGTAATGGTCAAATGGTTGTTGTTGGCGTTGGTCCTAATTCTACTGCAGGATATGTTCTTAGTTTACTTCGGGGATCAGCAGAGTATTGGAAAGATAACAACGAAGGGGAAAAGAAATAAAAATATATGATTCAAATAATAGACCTTCTATTTCGAATATGAACAAAATATATATAAAATAAAGTTAATTCTATTTTTATGTTATTCTTATGCCCACTTCACTTCCAATATATTCAATAAAATAAAAATAATAGGATTTAGATTTCGAATATCTCAAGTGCTTCATATTGA